AAAATTAATAACAATAAAATATTTTTAAAATGTGAAAAAATGTAAATAAAAAACATGTTTGGTTTTGGCCTAACAATTGTTTTTATTTCGGTTTCGTTTTTGACATTTCTATTTTGGGGCACCTCTAGAAATACATACTTTTTGTTTTTGATAATGCAATCAAAGCTTACTTGAAAATCTAAAAAAAAATCTATTTTATGTAATGACCAAATATAGTGACGTTCGTTACTTTTTTTTTAACCTTAAACAGTCCACAGAAACAATAATAAAAAGTGTTGGGGTTCCCCCCCCCCAAAAAAAAATCTCTTACCAGACTCTTGATCTGAGCAGCAGCCTGGCAGAGCATGAGGAAGGGAGAACAACAATATAAAAAAAAAACTTTATTTTGAAAAAAAAAAAACACAGGTTTTTGACAAGTCTTACATTAAGAAAAAGAAAGTTCCATAGAAATACAAAAGGTCGATCACGTTGTTCAGCAATGTAGATCCACATCAATCATGATGGACGCCGAATCACAGAAAAAAAAATTCCTGACGCCTGCCGACACGTCCGATTCCCGCAAAACACCGCAAAATGACAATTGTGTTCCAAAGCAAGGCAACAAAGCGGCAGAGCGAGTCATGACGTCAAGGGACTTGCTCTGCCCCTTTGATTACATTCCATTTGAGGACAGTGAGCTGTGACTGAATGTACACAAGGGGACGGAGCAAGTCCCATGACATCATGACTCGCTCCGCCCCTTTGTTGACATTCGGGAGCAGAGCTGTAATTTTTCTTCTGGTGTTTGTCAGGATCAGTCGTATCGGCGGACGTTGGGAATTTTTTCTTTCGCAAGTCGGCGGCCGTCAACCATAGCCATGGATCGCGGCCATGGCGGCCGTCAACAAGGATCTACATCGCTGGACGCACACACTTTTTTCGGGTTTTTTTGGCGTTGCAATCCCACCTAAAGGGTCTGGTATGAATTGTTTTTTTTTTGTTATTTTAACGTTTAACATAAATGTATTCTGAATGACATTCGGATGCATCCGAAATTTTTGTTATCAAAAATATAGATACATACGGATTCGTTATTTCTTTTATATGCCGAACTTTGTCCGAATTTCATTTCGAATTAAAATGAATCGCACACGTCTAGCAATTTTTTTCTATTAAATAAACGTAGAAAAGTGCTCAAACAAAAACGATCCCAAAGACAGCTGCAACTATCTTCCACGCTTCCCAACAAAGGCTCCAATTTTGCCTCGTGTATCTCCATGCTCTGTGATCCACCTTTTAGTGACTATAGCTCACCTTTTTACATGGACCTTATCTTAATCAAGATCCGTCATCAGCACTTGCATATAGAGACCGATCTTTCCACTTATAGGGGTCTATTCACTAAGCTGCCGAAGGATCTAGCCATAGCTTCGGCTGATCCTTCAGCCCCAGGACCCCTTCGGTTCAGTAGAAGCGAAGGGCTGCTGAACGGGCTATTCACTATAGCCCGTACAGGTCCCGAAGTTGGCCGAGTGGCTCAGTCGAGTCAAAGGCATATGCCTTGGCTCAACTTAGCCTCGTTGAAAGCCGAAGCTCGGCTGGCTCCGGCCACTTTCAGAGAGATCAGCGTCCCTGGTTACCGGGTAACCAGGGACGCTGTCATTACACTGAGAACCCGGCCGGGACGCTATGATATCACAGCGGCCTCTCCGGGTTCAGTGTATAATGACAGATAGTGTCCCTGGTTACCTGGTAACCAGGGACGCCATCTGTCATTACTTTCTTGGATGCTCTGGGAGTCTAATACGGCTCCCGGCCGCCCAGGAGAGAAACACTTTCCCTCGGACAGGTTTACTCTGCTCGATTGAAATTCAATCTGTGTATGGCCAGCTTTACAAGGAAGCAATTCTTGAGGTTTTTTTTCATGCACTGGCATGACCACGCCGCCCCGCTCGTTCTCCTCTCCGGCCCTGGATTGGCAGCTGGACTGCCCAGGAGACTGTGGACCAGTTGGTGAATGGTGGTGGTTGGGAACCCCTGCTGTGCAGTGTGGGGCTGTCCAAGGCTGTGCCTGAGCCGGGAAGAAGGAGCTATAGAAGCGGACAGGCACGGCCATGGGCAGCTACTTGAAGGTCCCCAGCAGGTTGCCGAGGTCCCCGCAAGCGCGGGAACTCAGACAGCCGTTGCTGTTTAAAAATTTAAAGGGCCGGTATCGGCCTTAAAAATCGGGGCATTTTCACGAGTACAATGCCGTGAAAATGCCGGGTATCGGGACATCCCTATTAGAATCTATTGAAAAAACACATTTCTATATATATATACGGCTGCTGAGAATATATATGCAAATGTTAATGTTTCTTGCTAAAGTAGTGCTTTGCCCTGTTCTCCTGCTTCCTGAACCTCCATGTTAGTTCTTTAATGTCATGTGTGGCCTATTTGACCAACTGGGAGGCAAGAGGAACTGGAACTAGACCAATTTTATAGTTATCATATCATGTATAGTTATCGTCATGATTTGCACATCATTTTAGCTGTCTGTATCCATGGATATGTATAACATGGGTGGAAATATTTTAACATGTGGTGTTCAGAGAAGGAGTTCCTTTTTCACATGCTAACTAATTTTTGTAAAAGGCTTATATCAAAGCCCCGCACAGAAGCAGCTTTTTGTGTCATACGGGGAACATAAAATCCCACTTTTAAATCGTGGTATATCCTTTGATCCTAGGTATTTCAAATGGATAGCCTTGAATTCCTAGTTCATGTCAAAGAGAACATTAGTTAAAGAGTGGCTATGTTGGGAATATACAAAACATTAAAATGAAGAGAACGTGAATTTGATACAATTTGGAAAATCCATCATAGTAACCTTTCTTCCACACTCTAATGCTAAAAGCTCTCAACAAGCTGACCTGTGTTTTCTTGGGACCAGCCAAACTGAATCCAAGGCAGAAGACTTTCAAAAGTAGGACAGTTGAGTGTGGCAATGATGGGAACCCTTCATGAGCAGCATCTTTTCATTCCATATTTTTCCGAGGAGCAAATCAGTATTGCCATAAGTGATCACCTAGCGTTTACAAGTATGCCAACATGCTGCAGTGTGTCAAAGGTCCCTTATATTTTCCACTTAACTGTAGTGTGTAGGTTAATTTTAAGAAGCATTTTTTTCCCAAGCAATAAAAGGATTATCAGTTAGTGATTAACAACAGAGAAGATGGTGCAGGAGACGTTTTCATTGTAGGTGGAGTGAAGCAAGGTTTTATCTTCATGAAGACGACCATGGAAAGATACTCCTCTGCACTTATAGTATAGAAATACTAGCTTCTATTTTTCTGAGAGATGAACTGATCGGTGCTCTCACATTTCACCACTTCTCCCAAAACTAAAGAAAAGAGGTTTTGTGTGGTATTATGCTATAATTAAGGAAGTGTGATACTCGATATAGGAATAAAAGGCAAGCGCACACCTTAGTGGAGGACCAAACTGTGCTAATATCGTGCAATATACCAATTTCCAACTGCTACCATTTTATTCTAAACGGTCTGGGCTTTCAGAAAATATATAATGTTCTGGGGTTTGAAGTAATTTTTAGGCTCAAAATGTGGATTATAACTTAAAAAAGGCCTTGGTAGCGAAAGAGTTAATTTTCTACAAAAAAATGCAACCAAAACATGAATAGACACAGGTAACTGGCAATTCATTTTGCATATATATATGTTATATATGTATTTTGCTTGAAATACTTCTTTAAACCTAAAATTATATGTTTGATGAACATTTTTTCGTTATAACTCTGGTCACATATAAAATAACACAAATTAATGCAGTTTTGTATTCATGAAAACATAATAATTATTATTTTAATACAATTGTAAGTACCTGATTTAGACTTGGTATTAGCCTCTTGAGATCCACTGTAGAGCAAAGCTCAGACTGTCAGAGGATGGGGTATTAATATGGACCAATCAGGTGTGCTGTGTGCACATGTGCTGACGAGGAATATACAGATAGAAAAAAACAGGATGATGAGCTCCTTCAGTGGCCTATCACAGGCTGTGGGCAATGAAGTGACCTAGCTGTATTGCTCTGACTGCAGCAGAGAAAAGAATCAGGTCCATAACTTAAATGTGCTATCTGAAAGGTCTGTGAAAATCTCAGGACTAGCTGCATAAAAGATATATAATTGGCTTGGTAAAATATATGTTTCAACAGTATGTATTTAGCTGTTTGCCTGGAGTTCAAGTTTTATTTTTTTTTAAAGGAACAGTTTACTATCTCATGTACCACTTGAAATATATGCAGTATAGCCTGTAAAAATAAATGGAAGATTAAATGAACAGCACAAAAATCCAGAAACATAACAATGACCCTTTAAAGGAGGGTCTGCTGGCCTGAGGTTTAATATTTACTGTAGCTACATGTGGCTTCATCACTCATAATTTCAGCTTAGAATGTTCACAGTAACTAACATCATCCATGCCAAACAAGAATGGATTCTTCATATTTAAAATAACAACAGCACAATAAAGGATTTCAAGCACACATCATGTCATCTAAAGTTAACGTAAGGGATTATTATGCCATTACAGACACAATTCTCAGATTTAAAGGGGTTTAAAAAAAGATATTCATATCATCAGATAATTGATATACCCCCTTGAAGAGAAGCATGGAAATGCTATGCTATGATATCACAAAGAACATTTTGGAAAGCTGTAAATCGCCATTGGTGAAACTAAAGTCTTGTGTAGATACGCTTGCTGTGCCATTGTTCAAGAGAAGTCCAAGTACCCTGTGCCACTGAAACTAAAAACCCTTCATACTCCAATATATATATATGCTGTCATGTCACATGACTGAACAGCGGTTTCGGCGTAGTGCTCCTTGGAATCGTATTGCAGCATGTACATGCTTGCATCTAGCACAGCCTACACTTTTAAGTAGTTCACTGAAAAGTAGTAATATGTGCCAGTTATACTTGGCAGAGCATTCAATGTAGCCACATTTCCAAGTCTTCTTTACCAAATGCGACACGTTCCATCGTGGGATAACACGGCCTCGCTGCAGGTCACGTTTGTTGCCAACTATGATTATAGGAGTCTCAGATGTGCCAATTACTCTGTGGAAAGGAGAAAACAGTAAACTGTAATGACATATACCGACTTTTATTACGATGTAATTCAACAATGTAGCCAGCTGAGAGAGGCTATAAAAAAAACTGATGAAACATGTTAAGAAGCAGAAAAATTAGGTTAGAAGGATTACAGCTGACTGCAAAAAGATATAATGAGGGTTACAGTTAGGTATACCTGAATGGCGATGCCCTTTTGTGCAAGCTTCATCTAATATGCTATGTCATTACTTTAGTAAAAACTTACACTTGGAATGTGCTATTGGAGAAAGCAAGTTGTCTGCTTTATAAGCAGAACTACCTTTGAGGCACACAGACCACCAATAAGAAAGGAGAGATGGTTTCATGTTTCCTGAACTACAGTTGTGCTCAAAAGTTTGCATACCCTTGGTAATATATGTACCATTTTTAAAGAAAACATGAGTGAGCAGGCAAAACACATTTATTTTATTTCTTATGGAATTCATAATCAACTGTAGGTCATAACAGAAGAGCACAATCATAAACAAAACATGGCAACAAATAAAAAAAAATGACATGACCCCTGTTCAAAAGTCTGCATACCCTTAGTTCTTAATACTGTGTATTGCTCCCTTTAGCATCAATGACAGGTTTGAAATCTCCCCAGAGTGGCTTGATGATATCAAGGTCAGGAGACTGTGATGGCCACTCCAGAAACTTTTTTGTTAAAGGAGAACTATGAGGTGAGTGCTTTTCACTCACCTCATAGTTCTAGCCGAGCTGTGACAATGAGACTGTATCTGCTGGAACTGACAAAGGGATTCCAATAATTTTCTTTCTGAGGTTGCTAAGTTAAGGGTCTGCCTGCTGTAGTCATAAGATTGGTTCCAATGCTGTAGTAAGTAAAATTGGTTCGCACACAGTGTTCTCAATGTCCCCAGGGTTGTCATGCTTAAAGGAGAACTATGAGGTGAGTGCTTTTCACTCACCTCATAGTTCTAGCCGACCTGTGACAATGAGACTGTCACAGGTCGGCTCAGTAGATCGGGAGGTGAGCGAACACATACCGGCGTTCGCTCACCTCTCGATTCCCCCCTCCCCGCCAGTGTTGACTGGCGGAACGGACGGGGGAGGGGTTGGGTACAGCTGGCTCTGCCTCTAGATAGGCAGAGCCAGCTGTCAGTCACACAGCTGGGCTGATCCTGGCACAATTGTCGGGATCCCCTTCAGCTGCGGCGCAGCAGCTTGCGGTATACTGAGCCTAGGGTGACGGGAGGACGCTAGTTTGTGTCCTCCCGTTACCCTAAGGAGAACTATGGGGAAAAGCCTTAACCCCATAGTTCTCCTTTAAGAGTTTCTTTTAATATTCCCTCTTAATTGTAATACTTTGCATTTTCTTTGCTTACCCCCTTCTTCTAAGGCCCAAGTTTATCCTGAAAATGTAACTGTTAGTGGAAAAAAAAAGTTATCATGGACAGTACTCAATGCACCAATACGGCAACAATCATCTTTTGCAGGAAAGCAGAAAGTGACATTAGTTTACCAAATAACAATAAAGCTATACACTTGGCTTTCCCATGACATTAACAAACTTTCAAAACTAAAGTTCAAAAACATAGGCAGCTTCAGATAAGATAATGGCCTCAGCGATGAAGGGGAGCTGCTACTTCTGTTAGCTGCACTGCAGAAGGGCTTGAAAGTTCCACATACTTATAAACAGATGTATCTACTCTAGTATGACTACACAAAAGTCTCCTAACATCCCTACACAACAGGCGAATATATACAGAGGCTGCCAGTGTTTGTACAGTGAAATCTGAAGGTTATATGTTTGTACTAATAATACTTGAGAAAGGGTATTCATAGAACAACTGTTTTGCAGTCAACTGATGCCTTAGCTGGTGTGAGCTGGGGCCTAGGTAGCGGGTGCAATTGCTCCCTGGAGTGAGCAATCTTGAGAGGATTAGAGACCAGTCCAGTGACCTTTCTTCAAACAGTGGTGTTTATTGGTGCATTTACACAGGTTATACACAGTGCTGTACAGTGCTCAAGTGAAGTCTACAATGCAAAAAAATTGCTAAATTGCCATTGAGGCAAGGTGTAAAACCTGGGGCATACTAGAGGTTCCAGAAGGTGTAAGAGAGGAATCTGGGCGACACATAAACCCCAGACAGGACCTCTCCTGGCTGTCTACACGATGACCTGCTACACTGGGCACAAGTATGTTTCCACCACAGTCATCAACAGTGTAATGTAACTTTTGAAGTGATTCCAAATTTGGTAGTAGAACAGTCTGGTCAGGCACCGTTGACTCTGTAGCTTAAACACTATAATAAAGAAGCCATAACTGTTCTGAGAAGGCTCATAGCTGGATCCATAGAAGATGCCAATGTCCATTGATCTTAGCACCTTTAGTGTGCGACCTGCCTTTGGTGCGTCACAAGCAAGATGAGTGGACTGGACTGGTGCTAACACAGCTACTTCTGTATGCAATATTCTGTTGTGTGCGGTAAGTAAATGCATTTTTATTTTTACTTTTGTGTATTTTAATATTCATCAGCATGAATGTTGGGAGGCTTAAACTAAATCTGCATAATCTACTCTTTTGAACGTCATAGCTATATTTTAACTTCCTGCATTACGAGGCCTTAATTCTAATACCACTGTGAGTACATTCATTGCTGTTGTAAAATGCTTTTCATATTTATGCTGTTGGAGGTGAAGCTACAAAACTAGACACACTTGTTTAGATCATAGATTATGTTCAAGACATTAATCATTTTACAGATTATTCCTATACGGTCAAATATTTAGCTTGTATCTTGTTGCTAAGCTACAGTATTTGGCAAATGTAACAACAGGGTTAGGTACAATTTCATGCTGCTTAATGTAAAATAAGCCATGTTCATCCCAGTTTCACACTGTGGAAAAACAATTGCAAAATGGCTTTATAGTTTAGGGAACAAAGCTTAAAAAAAACTCCAAATATCCACAAACCCAAACTCTTTGAAAAGAACCTTTGTAGATAACTCAGTGTGTTTAACTTCTTTGGATAAGCTTTGGATAGTTTAATCTACTTTTGCATATAGCTAAACTCAAATATGTTCCCATCAAAACAAGGAAATAGTATCTCTGGTTTGCAAAAGTTGGTTAGCATAGAATTAATGCCCAACAAGAACTGCTTTTACTATTGAACAGATTGGGCAACGGTTAGAACTTGAGTAAATGTTATTGCTTTCTGTGTCCTGAACTATCTCAGTGACATCTTGTCAAATTTTAAATACAAATATTGTTGTAACACAATAATGTTTTTCTTGCCATTTCTTTCACTATTGGATATATTTCTGTTTACTTCCTGTCATAGTAACCCACCAGTGATGTAAAACCTTCTGTACCCTGTTAAAAAGATTCAGGCAAGAGTTTGGCTTTAAATAGCAGCTGTATTTAACGAAACCCAAACAATAGAGGTAAAAACGCAGAAAAATTTGTTTAAAAGGGGTAACAGGAACCGTTCGTAACCGTGGTCTTCTAGGGCAAATACAGCACCGGACAGTCCACTTGACTTTTCAAAAAGCTTACTTAGCTGATGGGATAATGGCCCATCCTTCTCTCCATTATCCCTACCCCAGAACACATTTTATAAATTGCACAACTAAACCATGCACACTTTCCCTGGGGTTTTACATTAATTATAAAAATTGTGTTTTCAATGCTTATGTGCAGTGTTTTTCTTTTCCACAAATTATTTGCTATTCACTTTCAATGTGCCTTTAACTTGCTAGAAGATATGACTAACAATTCTCTAGCAAGCCCCTTCCCTCCTTAAGGCTGGGTTCACACCAAGGCGTACCAAATATGCACGTTTGACACGCGTTTCGACCGCGATTCACGTGTTTCCGAGGGCTTGTTTTCCTAATGGATACGCTCTGCAAATACGCCCCAAAGAAGCTCCTGCACTTCTTTGGGCGTAGGGCGTTTTGCAGCGCGTTCCTACGCGCTGTAAAACGCCCAGGTGGGAACCATGCCCATAGGCAATCATTGGTTTTCACATGTTGAGCATTTTATAGCGCGTAGGAACGCGCTGTAAAACGCCCAGGTGTGAACCAGGCCTTAATGTCATATTTCTCTCCTTTTCTTGGAATCCCTAATTACTCTATGTACAGGTCCAGCATCTCAGCCCCTCCCCTCACCTCTCTACGTAACCTCTATGTAGCTTCCAAATGAAAGAAATGAAGGAATGAAAGAGAATACTATAGTACTATAATAAACTTGAGTGAAAGCTCAGAATCTGTTGGGGCTTATGACATCACATACAATATGGCAGTACTCCGCAACAGTCACAGTAGGGGTTATTCAAGTATATCAATTTTGAGCTAAGCCAATGCCATGCCACAAACAGGAGGGTCTGTACCTGCCAGGGTCCCAGTCATAAATAAAGGACCAGCAGGAAACCAAACCCCATCACACTCCACCAGCGCAAGAGACATTTTAGATGGAGTTGCTCTTTATTTCTCTACAGCTTTACAGTGAATGTCTTGCAACAGGCAAAATGAGTGTATGAATACTGAAAACATATAGGATGTCTGGGGGAGTAGGGGAAACCTCCCAAGTGTCCTATATTTAGGTAGAATGATTGATTTTCTTCTTACAGATCAGGTTCAAGATATAGCACACACTTATGTTGGTCTAAGTCAGTTAAAAAATTAAGGATCTAATCTGAATTTAAAAAAAAAAATGATGTTATACTGCAACACTAAAGAGGTATAGAAATATAATGATCCCATACATGCATTTGGTGTGAAAGATTTAATTTCATTTTTCTCACCTTGTTTCCAGTATTTGTTGCCTCAGGGTCTTGATGTATTCAAAGCTATCAAAGCAGCAGATGTCATAGACGAGGATATAAGCATGTGCACTTCTGAGCCCCCGACAGCATGAATCTGCCCACTCCTGCAAAATACAACATATGAACACATTGTACTGTGCCTTAACCTTAACAGCCCACTGTTAAAATCTATCTCTGAACGTGTACTTCCTCCAGCAATCTAACTTTTTATTTCTGCTGACTAACTATTCAGAAATAGGTGTTTACCTCGACTGACTTTAAAGGGAAATCTAAACTGCGGAGATACCAATAGTAAAATATATATACTGCATATTAGGTTTGCACCGAAATTTCAAAAAACATTAGCCAAAAATGGTACTTTGGGCAAAATACCAAACGTACCATCTTTCGGCTGAAATTGCGGTGCATCTCTATTTCTCTTCTCCCGGCTGTGCGCTGACACTGAGCATTGAGGAGTCTTACTCTGTGGAAATGAGAAAAGTATAAGCAAACTGTAATGAGATATACCGTCTTTTATTAAGATTTAATTCAACAATGTAGCCAGCTAAGATAAGCTATAAAAAAACTGATGAAACATGTTCAGAAAGAAGCAGAAAAATTAGGTTACATGGATTACAGCTGTCTGTAACAAGATATAATGAGAGTATAGCCAGTGCAGTAGTTAGGTATACCGGAACGGTGATGCCCTTTTGTGCAAGCTTCATCTAGTATGCTATGTCATTATTTTAGTAAAAACGTATGCTGGAATGTGCTATTGGAGAAAGCAAGTTGTCTGCTTTATAAGCAGAACTACCTTTGAGGCACGCAGACCACCAAAGAGAAAGGAGAGATGGTTTCATGAACTAGGGCATTCTGACTTCATTCAACCTCCCCTGCACTATCTTCTTCATCTTGCCTTAATTTACTAGCAAACTGGTCTAAGTAGTCAGAGGAGGCACAATAAAATAAGAACATGGTTATCACAGTCTGAAAATGTTGAGTCTTGGTGCTGTCCCCTCTAACTCTGATGAGTGGGCATGGGCTCACCAGTGCCTTATGGAAAATACTAGGGATGCACTGAAATTTCGGCCACCGAAACATATAGGACGAAAATGGCACTTTGGGCAAAATGCAGAAAGTATACTTTTTCAGCTGAAATTGCGATGTATCCCTGGTTTCTCTCCTCCCTGCTGGGCGCTGCTCTGTGTCCCCTCTGACACAGAGCAGCGTCCAGCGGGGAGGAGAGAAACATTCAGGAGGCCGAGAGGAGCGGGGAGGTGAGCACTGTGAGCGTGTCACCAGAGGACGAGCTCTCCTCCCACACTGCCCCACTCAGCCCTCAGTGACAGATCAGGATGGAGAGCGGTGTGGGGGAGGAGGCAGCTGTGACAGGAGGCCGAGCCAGCAGTGCAGGGAAGGAGTCAGCTGTCGGCCTGCCTCCCTGCACCACCAGCTCAAGCTCCTGTGGCAGCTGAAAGAGTCAGTGATCGCTGAGTGTTTGTTAATAATTGAGGAAATAGTATGTTTACTATGTCCCCAATTATAAATGAACAGGAAGTGCTCTACATCACTTCCTGTTCATTCATGATTGTGGACATAGTAAACATACTATCTCCACAGGTTATGAATACTATCTCTAGAAAAAAATGATTTTCGGGGTTTCGACCAGACAACTGTTTTACTTTCGGTTACGGTCAGAAAACATGCATGATTGATCCTGGAAATCTGTATGATTGATCCTAGCCAGTGACTTGCGAAGTGCTAAATCCAGAGACATATATTTCTTTCAGTACAGGACACCTTTTCAGGGGTTGAGAGTGAGGCCCTCAATAAAAAGAAACAATTTTTTTTAATGTTTAACTAATCCTGAATATACTTTTTACCAAGCCTTGAAACATACTGTATTTCCGTTATGTATAAGTAACACCTTGCTGCTTATTTTCCTGATCAAGGTAACTGGTGGCAACTATCTAAAGATACCACTGGCAGTTGCGGACTCTAAAGGATTGTGCGCACCAGACAATAGTTGAGAGTAAAACATTGATGGTGAATCTCTTTAAGGAAGTACATCCACAAGGATAATAGATAGTTAGCATTACTAGCATCAGTAATAGCAAAAATAATAACTGCTGCTATAGAAACAAGTGTTCCCAGTGATAACTGCTGCAGCCTGTCCATACTCGCAGCCATTCTCTGTAGTAGCCATGGCAAAATGCTTCATGATAAATGCACTTGTCACAGAGGTTAGTGGTGTATTACACTGTAAAAACATCAGATGGTATAATTGAGTCTAACAAGACCTACAGAGAAGCCTGCAGAACAATTGCACTTGGTATTTATCACTGTCCAGTTGCAGTGGTAGATGTACTTTTTACCCTGGTAGATGTAAAGATCAGCACAGTCTGGTGGCTTCTCACTTGAACGACTTGAAACTGCCAGCACAGCAACGGCAATGACTGTGTCAGCTCTCTTGTGGAATAATGATTTTCTCCATTTTAAGCTGCTGTAGGAATAAGAGAAACTGTTTCTGCTTCATTCTTTTCTTCACTCACTCCTCCTGTCACTATAACCTACGCATACCTCCTTAACTGTGCTGCCGAGGTGGGAAAGGGTCATCCCTCGTGCCTGGGGGTTTGTAGCATACACTTCTCAGCGTGGGAAGTTGCTGAGGGATAGAGAGAACGAGGGAGGTAACTTCAAAGAGTGTGAAGCGACATGCCTGTGGTAGGATTCCCCATGACTGAATTTGCAAACGTTATGTAACCAGTTAGATCACAGACAAGCCAGATGAAGGAAACATTGCAGTGGGTGGCAGACAAGAGAATATATTGTAGAAGGGAGACACAGCACAGAGAATTCTTATTATAACTTGAAGACTGATCTGTATCCAAGCAAGAAGGGGAATCGTAGCTATGTGTTCGTCCAAAACCTGATTCTCATACTACGAAATGTTTTATATGCAACAGTTTGAAATTTAGGTCCATAAGTGGGAGAATCACAATGGAGGCTCAATTCCCTAAGCTATAAATGATCATAATCTGGCAGAATGACCCTTATTTACACCAGTGAGTACTGTAAATAAGAGACACATGGCTGGAAATAACAATCATTATCGCAGACACCACATGCGTTATAGGTTTTTGACTTGAGCGTGTATAGTTTATCAAAGAACTTTCAAAAGGTCTCAGGTCCCACAAGCTGACTGAATTTATGAAATGAAGAAAGATCTTCCCATGGGTCAATGATTTCACTAGAGTACCCAGTACCAACAGGAAGATTTTGAGGCTACTCTCCCCAGGAAACGTGCAAATAACCCTCTACAAATGGAAAAAGGGCTAATGGGTAATGCTTTATTTCACATAAAATACATTTAAGTGAATTCCTTACAAACTGCATCTTAAAAGCAAAGATACAGCCAATGAACCTGAACACTGTTTTGGCCTAATGGGTGTAGAAAGCGTGTTATTCTAACCAGCAAGTGAAATGCCATAGGAGATACAGAAAGGACTTCTGCGTAATATCATGCCATGGCAGGAGTATGTTTTTTAGAAGGCGTTGTCTGAATATGGTTCTAAAGCCTATATATTGCCCTTCCAGACAATTGTCAGTATTGGCATGCTAATACACAGTCCCATTGTGTTGACGGACCAGTGTAGGTGTATCAATAAAAAAAGGCGAGGCTCTATTTGATAAGTGCAAAAAAAAAAATATCCATTGATCATCCTAGAAATTCAAAGCTTTCCTGTACACACTTCCTATGTTAATGTAAGGACTGTAAGAAAATTCACTGGTTTTTAAGCTCACACTGGTTCACACAAAATTCACTGGTTTTTCTTCACTTACGTGAATTTTCTTCAGCTCACACACAACTTCAACAAATGTCCTTAAACAAGAGTATTTTGGAAGGTTTACACATATGCAATGTTTTCCCCAGGATATCTTCATTAATATGTATGAGAAAGATTGAATATGAAGCCTGGAAGTACTAGAATGCTGTCTGAGTAAATGTACAAAGGAAGGGGTAATCACACCATTGATGAAACAGGCGGTTTGGCAAATGACATAGAAGCTGGAATTAGTAATTGTATATAGTAAAAGAGATGACAGATCCAGCCAGCTAGAAAATATATTAGAAATGAATAAGTCTTTCTTGCTAGGAAATGATACGAATTTGTTTTATGGCAAAAACAGGGACTGTTTAGATGCAATCACCTTACTATACTCCAGAGACTAAACTACACTAACATTGATAGCTGGAAATAAAATATCAGGGGTATAAAATGTATAATTTTATATTTACAATGAACCTATTCTCTATTTTTTTTACACATGATAATTTCAGCAGCCTGTATGAAATGCAAGACAGTAAATGTATGACATACTCGGTATATATTTTATGATGCTATTAGTAATATTATTTAGTGTGTTTTATGCATGTAGCTAAAGTAGGATTCCCTGCAACATGTGGTTCAGCACTATGCTGCACACTTCGGAGGCCTACTGTCAGAATAGTTTGATTACAGGCACGACTATTGAAATATCTAAGTTATCAAACATAGCCACTGCTGTAGCAACTACACAAAGGATCATACTATATTATTTGATACTGCTGCTTCAGTTTTTTTGGTAGATGACATCATGTTGAATGAAGTATCTCTTCCCTTACTTATTCAAAAGGCAAGATATCTGAATATGAGTGTTAGGGGCATGAGTGTTGGCCGCTGTGCAACAGGCATGACCAATCACAGAAGTTTATGGCAGCGATGAAGGCTGAGGAAGGTAATAAATATACAACCTTCTAGAAGGGTTCTTTCCTCCCAGGTTTTGCATGTAGAGGATGTGTGTGTGTGAAGAGTCCAACCTTGGTCTCCCAGGCCTGGTGCCTGGGAAGTAAAGCTGCAACAACTAATCGATTAAATCGATTATAAATCGATGATGAGAATCGTTGGCAAAGATTCTCATCATCGATTAGTTGCTTTTCGATAAGTCGCAGCCACCGCTCTGCTCCTCAGCTCTCCTCCCCGCCCGTGCTGGCGGCAGCGGTCTGTGTCCTCTTCAATCCCCGCTGTTCTCCATGCCTGTGTCAGCAGAGGCAGCATGGACACTAGGGCTGCAACAACTAATCGACATAATCAATGATTGAAAAAGTTGTCAACTTTTTCAATGATCGATTAATCGGCTTCTGGTTAGTTGGCCCTGTTCACGGCTCCACACACGCTGCGCGCCGCACCTCTTCACGCTCGCCGCTGCCAGACCTGCCCGCACCAATGCTCCACACGCCGCACCTCCTCCCCACGGGGAGAAGTGAAGACGTAAGGAGGAGCAGGTGTGGGGGGATGACAATCACCGATAGACAGGCCCTATCTCAGAAGCCAGTTGCTGGAAGACTGTGCTCAGGTAAGCCTGCACTCCCCCCCACATGGTGCTCTATAATGTATTGCTGGTATTTGTATTCCTCTATAGCTGATGGTACATTGTGCTATATATTATGAAGAGGACTACACATCCCAGCATTAGTACATTATACACTGTATGTATAATGTACTATTGCTGAGATTTGTTGTATCCCTCTATAGCTGGTGGTATTCTGCATTGCGCTGTATAGAGGACTACAAATCCCAGCAATAATACATTATACAGCGCAATGCGGAATACCACCAGCTATAGAGGAGTACAACAAATCCCAGCAATAGTACATTATACAGTGGTGCAATGCCGAATACAACTACCTATAGCGGACTACAAAACCCTGCAGTAGTACATTTTACAGCGCAATGCAGAATAC